AGCGAGAGAGGGAACACAAGCAGGGGGAGCGGGAGAGGGAGAAGCAGGCCTCCCGCCGAGCAGGGAGCCCGATGCGGGGCTCGATCCCAGGACCCCGGGATCGTGACCTGAGCCGAAGGCAGACGCTTAACAACGGAGCCACCCAGGCGCCCCTGCTTTCACACATTTGAGGTTTATTCTCACTTAGGCAAAGCCCTATGCAAAGTTTGACAGGAAGCCTCCCATCCAGGGATTCAGGGACCCATGTTCCACCCATGTTGTAGCTCTGTCGTGTTCAACATGAGGCGCCCAAGATCTCTGCAGGACACCTCCGTGGCTGCCATGGCAAGACGGAATGCAGTTGATATTCACCTTTTGTTTACCCAATCATTCATCAGTGGACACTTGGCTATTCCCACCTCTTGGCTACTGTGAATAATGGTGCTGTGAACATGGGTGTGCAAATATCTTCTTTGATGTGCCCTTTTTCTACCTTTAGTTATGGAGTTTGCTCTGCCAGTCTTCAGGTCAATTTTTGGAGTATTTAGGATGATTTGATAGTTATCTAGTTGTATTTGTGGGAAGAGGCGAGCCTCGGGTCCTCCTACTCTGTTGCCATCTTCCTCACACTCCCTTTTTAAACAGAAGGAACTATGTGATCAGGACTCATAAATATTTAAAATTATTTGAAATACTACACTTAAGGTACAAATAGACACTGTATTGAAATCTGTGTTATTATGCTTCTTTAAAACCTTGCTTTGTCTTTGGGTTGGTGGTTTTCAACCAAGGGCCAATTTTGTACACCTCCCACCTCTCTTCCCTGGGACATTTGAAAATGTCTGAAGACATTTTTGGTTATGACAACTAAGGGAGGTACAGGTATTCTTGACTTCAAGTGGGTAGAGGCCAAAGATGCTGCTAAGCACCCTCCTACAATGCATGGGATAATCTCTTTCCTCCCAACAAGGAATTATCCAGCCCAAAATGTCAGTGCCAAGGTTGAGAAACCCTGATTTATATTTTAAAATACTCAATTGTCTGTTAAATCACTGAGAATCAAGTGGACTCTAAGCTGAAAGAGACATTAGAAATTAAATTATTCAGAACCCCCTTAATCTATAGATATGACTCAAGAGCTTGTCTTGCCTTAAATCACACAGTTTATAAGAGCCTACGATATTGGATAAATCAAATCCCATACCTAAAGATATGATTCTAGGTCCAATTACAAATGTATTTATTTTATCTATGAATGTTTATATTATATTTCATATTTTTATAAATAATCTGATATTTAAGTTGTATGCTTTTCTTAAATTATTCAAGTTCTTTTTTTATCGATATACTTGACATATAACATTGTATTAGTTTTATGTGTACAACATGATTTGGTGTGTGTGTGTGTATATATATATATATATAGTGAAATGATAACTACAACAAGTTAACAGTCATCACTTCACATAGTTACAATTTTTTTTTCTTGTAGTGAGAATTTTATAAGCTCTATTCTCTTAGCAACTTTCAAATATACAATACAGTATTGTTAACTACAGTCACCGCTGTACATTACCTCCCTGGGACTTAGTTATCTTACAGTTTGAAGTCTGTACCTGAGACCACCTTCACCCATTTCACTCACCACCACCCCCCCCCCAAGTTATTTACATCCTTTCCAATGACTTTCAAACAGAAAAAGATGCAGGTGGCAGGAGAGTGCTGGGGAAGAATCTCAAGTCTGATGAAAGGGAGAGAAGATGTAGGGAAATAGGCTGACTGCAGGTGCCTAGTTAATCTGAGGAGACAAAGGAGGCCCACTATCTACCTTGAACTGCATCCTGAATTAAGAATCTTTTTTTTTTTTTTTTTAAATATATCTGAGTTAAGCATTAATTGAAAAAGAATTTAAAAATAAAAGTTTGAAGGTTGGGTGATACCCTGTCAGGTAGCTCTCTCTGAATGCAAAAAGAAAAGTTCTGAGGAATTTATGAAAAGCAAAGGTATATTTTTAAACTTTTCCTATAGGTATTTTAATTTTAATTCTGCGCTCTCATTGAAACCATATTGATCATAATTTTATGATATTTCAAAAATATCATATGACATTTTGTGATTTTTTTCCAATAGATTTCTTGTACTCTGTGTGTGTGTGTGTGTGTGTGTGTGTTTGACACAAAATCATTAGAGAAAAAAAATTACTGTTAGCTCCTATCTCCTACATTTAGCCAGGGACTCATAATAAGCATTATTCTCAGAATTAATCCAATCCAATAATTAAATTATTACTGGGCGCCTACTATATGCCAGTGACTTTGCAGGTACCAGTATAAAAAATTGTGACAATAATGATCCTTGCCATCCTTTTTAAGAAAGAGCTGAAAATGAAATTTATCGTCTGGTATTCTTTTCTGTCTTTTGTTTTTGTTTTGTTTTATTTTTTCAAGTAGCCTACTATGATGCTTGATGCAGTTGTTAAGGAAGGATGCCTAACAATTTGTAATGAAAATTTCATGTGTTTTACATAAAGCATGGACGAAAAGAATCGCTAAAGGTGTTCTTCTGTAGGGAGGACTCAAGTTACGGACCATTTAATGCTTGACTTTGATTAGAGAGCATAAATTATTATAAATGTGAAGGAAACTACTGATGAATAGAAATACTGTAGAATATATAGCTTTCAACCACTTGAGAAAAAAAAGGACAAAAGAATCTTGGTAACACTTGCTAAAAAGAGAAAAAGAAACTATATTCAAATTTAGATGAATGCACTATGTTCAGATCTTCCTATTTAGGAATGTGATTTGAATGTAACACATTTTCAAGTGTTCTCTAATTTCTCTTTTTCTCTTTCTTTTAACAAGGTCTGGAACCCTCTATATGTCAGAAAATGAAAGCCAAAGAAATGGAACAGCGTGCTATCCAAGTCAGTGATTATCTAAAGCAGTCTCAAGAGGTAAAGACATCTTATTTGATATTAAAAAAAAATTTATGCACACACTTCTCTAACTCGTTGACTGTGTCTGTTTTACCATTATGTCCCTTAATTGGCTTCTCCTTTTTACTGGTGTTACATTTAAATCCTTGCTTTGAATATATGCTCAGTTTTTTTCACTCCCTTTGAGCCCCACCCCCCACCCTTTATTCTTTCCTTGTTTTTCTCCATGCAATTTATTGGTCCACCCAGTAATTTATTGTGGGTGTTTTTAGCCTGAAAGATCAAGAGTTCAGGAACTTTTGGAACTGTTTTGAACTTTATGAATGTTGCCAGGTGGAAGAAAAATAGGTATTTTCATTACATTTTAAGAGGTGGAACTAGGGTCAACATATAGAAACTACTGGGAGGAGTTTCAGCCCAATTTGAGGAGGAATTATTAGCAATTGGGGCTTTCTAAGGATGGAATGGTTTATTTCTGGAAGTAGTAAGTTCCTCACTTAGTGTGGTTAGTCAAACAGGCCGAGCCAACCTCTTTGCAGATGTGTTGGAGGGGATTTGGACCCTGCAGGATGAAGGAGCCTCCAACATTGAGGTTCTCTGATTTTACGGTCTTTGTTTCTTACGTGCCCGTTTTACTGCCATCTACCATGTGGGGAGCATGATCTAGTTAGACTAACTCAAGAAATCCGATTTTGGTCTTGGTTTGAACATTATTTCTGTGAACTCGGGAACTGTATCCATATTACCTGTATGAATGTACGTTAATAACCTCATGAAGGGAATCTGTGGAAGATTTCAAAACTAAACCGTCAGACTGCTTGGAGGTGAGTGGTGGCAAGAACCTGTCTGCTATGTCTCAGGTTTCAGGGCTGTGTATGGTAATTAACCTCTGAGCTTCATTAGCTGTGTCTCTAAAATGGGGTTAATGCCATCCTTATGAGATTATTGGTAGTGGATAACAAAAATAAGACCAATGGAAATGCCTAGAGTGATGCCTGGAATGTAGTAGGTTTCAGGAAGTAATAGTTGAATCTAAATAGGAAATAGAATGATAAATTCAAAGTAATGTTATTCTAAATTATCATCCACTGAAACAACAGTGTCCTGATAGAGGACACAGAGATGTAATGATTGATATTTCTTGTCAACTTAGACCTTCATTCCTTCTTTCCTATCATTAACTGTTCACTCTCATTTCTGCAAAAGCCATTGTTGTATATTATGTTTTCTCTATGATGTCCCCATACAAGTAATTTCATTCTGTTAAAGTCAGTCAACACATTGAATTGTTCAGATATTGTGCTAACATTATGCATCTTTCTAACTTGAGTTTGGTGCATCCAGTAAAAGAGAAATATTGAGTTGGGGGGGAGGGTATGTTTTGCAAATGTATTACTGGAAGCTTGGGGTGGGAGAATGTTGGGTAAACATGTAATGACCTTTCCTTTCTGCTCAGGATCTGAGCAGAAACTCTTTGTGGAACTCCAGGAGCACCAACCTCAATAGGAACTGCCTGTGAGTATTTCTAAATGTCTGTTTTTAAGCATTTTTGGCTTCTGTTTTTTTTTTTTTTTTGGTAACAAAGGTTTAATTGGGTCAGAAAAAGAGGGGAAAAAGAAGTGTTTCCAATGACAATATTTTCCTTTTGTCAGCAAGAAGGAAAATCATTTATTCTCCAAGTTTTCCCATTTCTGGCAATAAGATCCCACCTTCGTGCCTTTTAAGAATATAACGAAACATATACTACCACAGCAGATTAAGCCTTTGTCTTTTCAGTGTCAAAAAAGCACACACGGAATAATGAGTATCCTGTCTTTTCTGACAGATAAGATTGTGAAATTTGCATTCAAGACTAGGAACAAACCTGTCTGGCCTAAAGAAAGACTGAAGATCTGATAGTTTTCTCTTTAGATTTTTTTTTCAAATTTTTAATTTTAGTTTATGAGGTTGATCTTTTTTATTTTTGGTTTCTCATGAGCATCCTAAGTGTCTGTCAAAGCAGTAACCCTTTGAGGTTTGAGACAAAGCAAAGAGAAGACAGGGATCAAAAGAGAGAGGAGCTAGAGAACTCACATGGTTGTAGGCTTGAGTATTTTCCTGGAATTTTATTTATTCAGAGAAATGAAGTTTGAAAACCAACCAAAGCAAAATGATTCTATTTGGTTTGTAGTGTTTTCTGGACTTTTCTGGTTACATCATCAAATGATCCATGTGGCTATGGGAGCAGAATTCAAAACCATCTACTGTATGAAGGGCCAGTTGATACCAAGCAGGTGGAATGTGACTTGAAGTTTACAGCCAGCTCCATTTGAGATGACCTTTTTTTCTGGCGCTACCATCGAGGTCTCTGTGTGCAAGCCTGCCTCTAGACTTCAAGTGCACATGACTATCTCCTCCCAGAGGTTCGGTAGTTTGTGCTCATGCAGAGTAGTGAGTTATTGCAGCATGAAATTAAACAATAATTGTAATTGTACTCTCTTCCCTAAGGACCTTCAATACTGGAGATATTCTTTGAACGAATTTATTCAGACTTGCCCATGGCCACTTGTGCACTTGAGCAGGGCAAGTAACAATTTACAGAGAGCTAATTTCAGCCCGTGAACATTTAGGGGCCACGTGGGCTAATGAAACTGATTTGTAGGCTTGTCCAGAGACATTCACAGACTCATTTGTAGGCATCTGCTTTGCATAGTTCAGGAACCCTTTAGTTTGATTGATCCAGAACAACACAAACACAGTTAAATCTTATATATGTCGTTTGATCATATAGCTAATTAAAAACAAAAACCAATGACTGCTTTTTGGTTAGCCTAGGGCATGCACAGTAAGTGAATTATATGCATATATGGTGCTCATTTTTCTATGAAAAATAATTGTAGGGTTGCAAACCATTTCTCTGTTGATAGAAATAGGGGTCAAATGGCACTTTGCTTTTGAAGAAAATCTACATACACATACATGCATCTAGACATATAGACTCTGTATTGTTACTATTGTACTCCTTTCTTTGGTCATTGAAAAATTTAAAGCATTATCTAAACAACTTTAATTTTTAAAACAGGTTGAGAAGTTCAAGTGGAGTTGACAGTAAGTTTTTATGTTACTTTTTTATCTTATTAATGGTGAGCTTCCCTCTCCTGCTGAGATTTTTGTAGTCCTTGAAATTCTGTATGTGATTTTTGTCTACTGTACGAAGTAGAAAGTTCAGTAGAAAAGTAGAAAGTTGTCTTTCTCCACATAAATCAGGATTGATGTCTGGTTTACAATTCTTTTTTGAATTGCCTATTTCTGACGGTGATTTTCCAGTTTTCTGTGAGTGAGGGTGTTGCCACTGAGCTCATTTCGACTGTTTGACAGTTCTGTCAGTCTTTTACATATCGCTCACAGAGAGCCTTTCATCTTATATGTGGATACCTTTTCCTCTATGGCTTCCGTAGGACTTTGCCCCAAGTGGCTGAGTAGGGCTGGGTCATGTGAGACACTCCCTGGCAAAGCCACTGTCGAGGCTGTTCTCAAACTTGACCACAGCCGATGAGCTCCTTTTCATGTTCTTGACCTCTGGATGCCGTTGGGCCCCTTCTCTTCCAGAGCCTTGTGTATCCCACTCTCTCTGGTTCCCAGCATCAACTTTGCCCGTCTTAGCGATCGACTTTGCCTCTGTACCACCCCCAGCCCCATCCTTAGGAGCTGTGTTGCTCTATCCCATGGCTTCCGCCTTAGAGCCTCTGATACTTATTTTCCGATGTAAAAAGTTTTGCCCTTGATTTTATGCTAGCATTCTGGTTGGTTTCTCTCCCTTTGCACTTCCCCATGTTCCCACTGGAGTTACCTTTCTGAACAGTAAACTGTCATTTACCTCGAAGCTTCCAGTGGCTTCCCGTTACCTACAGGATAGGCTTGGTTGCAAATCCCTTAATCTTTCTCAAGTGTTGATGAGGGCACTCATCCAGATATACAGGCTCATGCTCATTCTTTCACTCAACATTTCTGCCCTGCAGAATATGACCACCTACCTGTTCATCCCTTCACTTGGGGATCTAGCCATCTCCAAAAAATGTGCCACCTCCTGCCTCACCCACCTTAGGAAATGGCAACGCCGTCCTTCCAGTTGCTGAGGCCAAAGTCTTGCCATCATACTTGGCTCCCGTTTTCTCACATCTGCACTTCCAAACTGTCAGTAAATCCTTCAAAATATATCAAGAACCTGATCACTTTCCTACTTTCACATACCACTCTTCATCTCCTCCCTGGATTACAGGATGACCTCCAAACTATTGCTCTCTGAAAGTCTATTTCCAGAATGCAGCTAGAATAACACTGTGAAACCAAAAGTCAAATCGAGTCACTCTTCTGCTCAAATGGCATCTCATCTCACTCTCTAAAAGCAAAGTCCAAATTGGTCTTACAAAGCCCTGTTGATCTGCTGTTCTTCCTCCACCTCTCCAACCCCGTTTCCTCTCAGCACAGTCCACTCTGGCCACACTCTCCATGGTCCTGCCTCAGGGCATTTGCACCTGCTGTCACCTCTGCCTGGAATTTTCCTGCATTTTTCCATGTGACTTACCTATTGCTCCCTTCAGGTCTGTGCTCAAATTTCACCTTCTTACAGAGGCCTTGGCTTGCCATCCTTAAAATAATAAGCTCCCTGTCTCCCACACTTTCTAGCCCCCTAACTTGATATATATATGTAATACTGTATCCACTATATATTTACTTGTTTATTTCTTTCCTTTCACTGGAAGGTAGCCAGAGACTTTATCTGTTTTTTACACTGGTCTTTCTCTTAAGCAGCTAGTAGGTGTTGAATAAGTGTGTGTTGAATGAATGTGAACAAATTCTCACAGCTCCTTAAATGAGCCAGGATTGAAACTCAGCATTATCAGATTCAGATGCCCATGCTCTTTAAGAATATCACGTTGCTTCGGAGGTACAGGTCTGTCACCCAGCCACCAAAAAAAAAAAAAAAGAAAAACAACAACAACAAAAGAATATCACATTGCTTGTCTATGAAGGTTCCATAAGCCTCTGTGTACACCTCTATTATAAATAGTTAGCCAACTGTGTTGTGACTATGGTCTACATGTCTTTAGCTCCCAGTATTTCACATTTCCTTTTTTCTAGGGTGGGAGCCACTACTTACATCTGTCTTGGCTAGCATGACCTATAGCGGGAGCTGAATACGTTTTTATTTTTGTTATTGAATGGACTCAAAAGAAAGGGTCTTTTCTGCTGATCTTACTTTTTACTAAGAACCCCAAAGGAAGGGATTTTTGTTCCTTTCCTTATCCAGCAACAAGAAACCAGAGAGATCTTTGAAATTGGGCTCTAATTATGCTGCTTACTCTACTAGGTATAAAGCAGTTACCACCATGAGACTAAAGCTCTCCACTTTAATTTTAATTTTATGAAATGGCAAAACTGTTGCAAAGGATTTCTCTGGAGACTTGTAATTTAGGATTTGAGCAGATAGAGGAGAACCAGTTAAACCTGCAGGAGGTGAGCCCAACAAACAAGCCCCTTGGTGTCCTATTCTCCGCCCACTCCTTTGTTTCTGGTCTATGCCTCTTAATTTGTTTTCATCACTTTGTTGTCATTTCAGGTCAGTGAAGTAGACTGCTAATAACTTGGTATTAATAATGTCTTCATATGGGTACTGCATCTTGGTGGGAGCTCAGAGAATTGTGCTTTGGGGATGTCATGAAGTGTGATGGGCAGCCCAGTGCCTTCTGCAACCCAGAGGTGTAATTGGTTCAGAGGAAATACATCTTTGAGGCTAATATTACCTGTCTTTCTTCAATTCCCTATATAAATATGTTTGGAGATATTACATTGATGATTGGAAGCTGTCAGGATACCATGCCCAATAATGTGGTTAAAGGATATTAGGCAATCTTTCTCAAATACTGAGAAGCCATTCCGATTAATCTGTTCAATAATAACTTTGAAGGCAATATATTCATAAGCATGTATTTATCTCCAGCCAAGTAATTAAAATGCCAATCTTCTCTATAATTTCAGAAATCTCAGCCTCCTTAAAAAGCCCTCCAGAGCCTCGCCATCATTATTCAGGTAGGAAGCATGTGCGCATTGACATGTCAGCCGAGCTAAACGTCTGTGATTCTGCAGTTGTAAACAGAAATATTGATGAATTGCAAAGTATTGATATGACTTCCAACTTGAAAGGCTGTTGTTCACTCTCATGAGAAGAACATTCAGATTTCTTACCTTGCCATTTACTTGGGAAAACAAGTTGTTAGGATTTAAGAGAATGTGGGATTAAAAACAAAACAAAACAAAACAAAATATGTACCGGGGGTGCCTGGGTGGCTGAGTTGGTTAAGTGACTGCCTTCGGCTCAGGTCATGATCCTGGAGTCCTGGGATCAAGTCCCGCATCGGGCTTCCTGCTCAGTGGGGAGTCTGCTTCTCCTTCTGACCCTCCCCCCTCTCATGTGCACGTGCTCTCTCTCATTCTCGTTCTGTCAAATAAATAAAATCTTAAAAAAAAAAAAATGCTCGGGCAAGTTCCAAATGGTGAGGAAGGGTGACCTTGAGGTCTCAAAATTCCTTATAAGCCCAAAGCCAGAAATCTCCATATTTTGGATTGGGGCCTGAAACAAGTTCTTTGAAGGAAGATTTTATACCTTCACTGGCCCTCAGCAAACATAACCACTGAATGAATGCCAGCCCCATCGAGTAAATTCAACAAAGACATCTTACAAGGATGTTATTAAACAAGATGTCGAGGGTCTTGACTCTCATAAGCAACATTGCTTCACAGCGCTTCAGTTGTCTTTCTTTCCGAGTGGGAATAATTGTACTTGCCCTTCCTGAGGAACAATCTGCCAAAGGGCTAGCTGGGAATTAAGAGGGAAACACTTTGAAATGCAAAGCAATAGAACAACCAACTGGACTTGTGCCACTGGTTGGTCTTTTGTGTGTCATCGCTCTCAGCGTTGGAGGAGATGAGACGTGGGCAAGGTCTTTTACACAGTCTAAAAGCTCAGCACCTGAGTATGAGTTTAGTGGTGTGACATTTACCGTTATTATCAGATCAAGGTCATGTTGTCAGGGCCCAGTAATAGACTGCCTTTTCCTAAATTCTCCCCTGTAGCGAACAGTGTTTCCGTGGATTCCAGACTCTGCTTTCCAGGCCCTTATAACTGGGTCTTTCAGCTCAGCAGTAATCCAATATTTTGACTCCAGCTGTCAGCTTTAGAAAGTCTGGTGAAAAATACTGTAACTCATATTGACTCTGATCTGTTAGGATACGGCTCTCAACAGGAAAATGCAGATCACTTGCTTCTAATTAAAATTGGCCGTCAGTTCTCTCCGGGAAAAGAAGGTGAACTGTGCAAAGTCAACAGTAGATGTCCCCACAGCCCACTGTGCATTAGATTTGCCCTGGGAAAGAAAAACCAGAGAAATGAAGATCACAGAACGCTCTTGAAAAGGAAGTTCCACATATGTATGGATTAGTCTGTGATTTGTTATTTAGGAGAGGGGAGGTGATAGCCCCACTCAGACCATGTTATATAATCTCATATAATTTCTAAGACCAGGGCATAGCCTTCCTATTTAAGGCATAGTTTATTTTAAAAGCTGGATTATGGAAAATATTTTTGATGAAGGCAAAAATCAGGGGTCTTTGAAATGAAATATTTTAGCATTATATGAATAGGTTGATGTGGGGGAGGCTTTCTGTAAGTTCAATCCACTGATGCATACTTAAAATAGTAAATCTGTTTTTGTTTGCAGCCATTGAAAGGAACAATTTAATGAGGCTTTCTCAGACTATACCATTTACACCAATCCAACTGTTTGGTGAGTGTGCCATTTCTACCTTCTTGAGGCTGTGCCAGGGCAGAGGCATACATCTGAGCAAATCAAAGGAGGAGAAACCATGTTGCATCATTTTAGTTGAAATTTTTGTTTTAGCAGTGATTGCAGTTTAGTGCGATTAATTTTCTAAAATGGAAACTCTTGTTAACTGTCCAGCCGTCATCGAGGGTCAAAATCTAATACTGTGGGGATGGGACCTATAATGAGCAGCAGTTGGGAAAAAAGCAATAATGTTGCACCTGGCATTCAGTGATTTAGGGCTGGAAGTAAGTAGGAAAGAAAAGAACCAACCAACCGTGTGTAATAAACACAGAAGAAAGCGATAAATGTCAATACAGTAAAAACTAACAGGCATCTGAAAAGAAATGCTTTGTATATTGTTTTCAGTTTGTTTCATGTAAACTAATTGCTCTTAGCTCAGATAGTAAATGTCGTTTTTAAAGGCTGGAGTAGTAAAGAAAAACAAGCTTGCATTAAGCCAAGGCTTCCAGAGTCTCTCTGTCCAGCCAATTGACAATATAACAAGGGTCCCCACTCTGTCCTAGATCTTAATTCTCTTCACACGGGGACAAATCAGGGGGCTCCCGATCGTGGATGCAAATGCCTTCTCCTTCCTCGCGGCTCCATGGCTGGTTTTGCAACTAAGGAGCTGTGCTGTAAATCCTCTAAGTATTTAGAACTCTGAAGAGACCTTCAGTGGCATTTATCTGGGCACGAAGAATAAATATATGAAAATTTGTCACTAAGAATTACCTAGACATGTTCTTTTCAATTCAGTGCAAGAGTGAGCAAATAGATTCCTTTCTTGGTGAACCAGTATAGTGTTCGCCAAAAAGAAGAAAAGAAAGAAAGAAAAAGAAAAGCATTGAAACAGAGGTGTAAGGAGAAAATCAAACAGAGCCTGGACAGAAGTTGTGTATAGAATATGTTACTTGTTATGAAGCATTAAACACTGTAGTAGGTGGAATCTAGGCTTGAATTGTTCCCTGTTCAAGAGCCTGAAAGTGGAAACTGCCTAGCAGTTAAAGAGCATTTTGTGTGTAAAATTTTTTAAGTGGGATTGAGTTTGTATCTGAAGTCCTAGTTCACGTTAGCCAAATTCACATATTTAATCTTTCCAACAACCCAGTGAGGTGAGTGTTATAAAACACTTTCATTTAACTGATCAGGGAAGTGAGGCTTTAAGTAACTTGTCCAAGGGCACAAAGGAGGGAGGGAGAGGCTCTGGGTCTAACTCCAATTGTGTTAAACCATGAATTCTCAGTGGGGGTAATATCGCCACCAAGGAAGCAGAAACATCTTTTTCTCTCTAAAGCACAAATATATGTACAGTATATGTAGATACATATGGTATATTTTTGGTATTAAAATGTCATATAGAAGGGAGAATTAGAAGGGGCGCCTGGGTGGCTCAGTTGGTTGAGCGTCGGCCTTTGGCTCAGGTCATGATCCAGGGTCCTGGGATTGAGCCCCACGTTGGGCTCCCTGCTCAGCGGGGAGCCTGCTTCTCCCTCTCCTCCCTGCTCGTGTTCTCTCTTGCTATCTCTGTCTCTCTCAAGTAAATAAACAAAATCTTAAAAAAAAAAAAAAAGGAATTAGGGAAAAAAAGTCTAATAAGTCTTGTAAAGGGGATGATAATGAAAACACGGGGTTAGACTATCTCTTTGGAAGTATTTGTCTTTAACAAAGGAATCATAACCCCACTACTTTGATTTTGCTTTTGTCTAGTTACAGTTTATAATAAGAACAACTTAATTCTTATATATCATTTGATGCTTTGTCCCTTTTCCCTTCTCCTGCCCCCTCCCTTTACTGGACAATAACATGGCCAATGTCCAGGCCTTCATTCTGCACTTGTCCATGCCCAGGTGAAATTCCATTCTCTTCTGATCATTTGGGAAGCTGAACTGATTCTGAGCTGTTATTTCGGATGCTAGAACATGTCACAGACATGAGATGTCCTTGAACTTATCATCCGTACTTCTTTTTGCAGCAGGAGAAGAAGTAACTGTCTACAGGCTGGAGGAGAGTTCCCCTTTGAACCTGGATAAGAGCATGTCTTCTTGGTCCCAGCGAGGGAGAGCTGCAATGATCCAGGTGCTGTCCCGCGAGGAGATGGATGGCGGGCTCCGGAAAGCCATGAAAGTCATCAGCACCTGGTCTGAGGGTGACGTTCTCAAGCCGGGGCAGGTTTTCATCATGAAGTCCTTTCTTCCCGAGGTTGTGAAGTCATGGCACAAAATCTTCCGGGAGAGTACTGTGCTTCACCTTTGCCTCAGGGTAAGTCCGAGACCCAGAGCCCGGAGGGATAGGTCAAAGAAAGCAGTTCTGGCTACATCCTGATTGGAGGCCATTTTTTTTTAACCCAGAGGATAGCCTTTCCGTTCTGGACGTGGTGGTATTTCCTTATTTTTGTTTTGTAGAGCTTTTGCTTTTGGAGAGGAGTGTGGTGGGAGCTGAATGAGGCTAAAAATCACACTGGGGAGGCCCCTAGTGCTTCCGTGTCATTGATTAGCCTACATGTGATAACAGACCAATATTTTTATCATTGTTCCCTATTGTGTAGGAAATTCAACAACAAAGAGCTGCTCAAAAACTGATGTATACCTTCAACCAAGTGAAACCACAAACCATTCCCTACACGCCAAGGTGAGTATAGGGAGTATGGGTACCCTGGCCCTTCATTTTAAGTACAAATTTCTCTCAATTTCTTCTCAGGCCTGTTAGTCATGAGAAATGCCAGAACCATGGGGAAGTTCCCCATGATTTTAGTTTTGGGTTCTTCCTTCTATAGTTCTGGAGACTGGTAAGAAGAGAGTTGGATGTCCCAGTAATATCTTGGCTTAAACACTGAACTTATGTGAGTGGAAAAGAGAAGTTCAGGCAGAGGCCATGACTGACTTCTCAGTTATGTGAAATGGGCAGACCCTAGATATAGTTACTAATGTCCAGGAACATTACAGAAGAAAAACATTTCTATTGGAAGCACAGTTTTTTCTCCTTTTATCCTAGCAAAATAAGGAATTTTCTAAGAATGAACTCTTGTTACTTTCGCTTGAGTGTCTCAAGACTTTTGCATTCATTTAGCAAGATAGATCATAATTTGGTGCTGGGGATTATGGTAAAGTTTTATTGTTTCAGTTACAAGGAACTTTATAGAGCACAGCAAGAAAAGTTGAGTCCAGTACTCATAAAGGAGTTGGAAGGTTTCCTCAAAGAGAAGGAAGGTGGGTAAGTGTGGGGAAAACTCCCAATCCTTGCATTCTGTCCCTGCCTTAGAAAGGCAGGGCATGTGCATTGAGGCTTCATCGAGCCAGAGTTAAGATATTCTCCTCTGCTCCTGACTGGTAATGTAAGTCTCACCTTTGCTGCCTTGTGGGGACTCAGTGGCCTCCTTTTCCTCCCTCACAGGTTCCTGGAAGTTTTCTTAATCTACTGCCATTCGGCCAACCAATGGTTGACCATTGAGAAGTACATGACAGGAGAGTTCCGGAAGTACAACAACAACAACGGTGATGAAATTGCCCCCAGCAACACCTTGGAGAAGCTGATGTTGGCTTTCTCTCACTGGACCTATGAGTATACCCGGGGAGAGCTGCTGGTTTTAGATTTGCAAGGTAATTGATAGCACAAGTGTGATTGATACAGCAAGCATGAGGCACAGTTCAGGAGCCATTGACCAGGGATGGTTTGTCCATGTCATTGTCCCCCACATCTGACCTTTTCCCAAAGCTGTAGTTAAGGTTTTTCAGTGGAGATATTCCCCAAGAGTGTGTGCTTTTTTTTTTTCTTCTTAATTTGATAACTGAAAGATGGTATCCGTTTTCTGAATTTATTTATTATTTGTGAAACTGTCCAAATTGTGAGGAACCAGACAGGTGTCCCAAGAAGTATTGGGAGAACCAGGATGGGTAATATATGCAGTTGCTCTACCTAGTTTTGAAGGGAGGTGAGGCCATTTATTTCAGAGACATTGTGCAGTGATGATCATGAGCACCTACTATGTTGTTTCCCTCTTAGCTCAAGAAAAAAATATAGGCAGATGATTACCTCCCTAAAATTTAAATACATCTAAAACTTTGATGGGGAATGAGTTTTTTTAAATTTATTTTTATTTTTATTTTTATTTTTTTTAAAAGATTTTATTTATTTATTAGAGAGAGAGAATGAGAGATAGAGAGCATGAGAGTGAAGAGGGTCAGAGGGAGAAGCAGACTCCCCGCTGAGCAGGGAGCCCGACGCAGGACTCGATCCCGGGACTCCAGGATCATGACCTGAGCCGAAGGCAGTCGCTTAACCAACTGAGCCACCCAGGTGCCCTGAGTTTTTTTTTTTTTAAATTTATTAGAGAGAGAGAATGCGCATGCAGCAGGGAGGGGCTGAGGGAGAGAGAGAAACTCTAAGCAGATTCAGCACTGAGCATAGAGCCCCATGTGGGGTTTGATCTCAAGACTCTGAGATCAATAGCTGAGGCAAAACCAAGAGTCGGTTGCCCAAAAGACTGTGCCACCCAGGTGCCCCTAAATGGGGAATGATTTTTGTACCAAATTTTCTAGTTTTATGGCTTTACCTTGAACTTATGTTCATAATAACACTTAGGCATGAATTTATACACATAGGAGAGTGTAAATTCTGGGCATCTTTCATGATTTTGAGCTCAGTGCTTTGGCAGTCTATAGTTTAGCTTGCTCTCTTTGCTGTGTACCTTGATATGACAGTTCACAAAAGTACAAAACTCCGCCTGAGAGGTGACACAGTACACTCATATTTAATGGAAGCCTTTGATCAGTGCATCTCCCCACTATCAACACCTCACATGTGACTTATAATCCTGCCGCACAAAACAGAGTATCTCTAGCAGGCTTTCCTTGCAGACACAGAATGAAATATGTATTCAGGTCAAAGTTTAGTTTGCGCTCACTGACTGGGGCTTTGGTTTGAAATAAGGGATTTAGTCTAGGAACTTTCACAAGAGTTATCTCATTTAATCCCACAAGTAGCACCTCAAGGTAGATATTATGGGGACTTTAGGCCCAGAAAATTTAAATAACTTGCCCAAGGTTGCACAGTTACTGAAGAGGGAGCCAGGATGTGAACTGACCATGTTCTTTCCTTCTCACTGTACTTTTATTTCTTTATGAGTTTCATAGGACATAACCGTGTTGTGGTTCATTTAAACAGATTGGGCATATTCCTTGTCCTCTCTGACTTTCCCATCTCTCCAGTCCTGGGATTCTGTACCGAAAGCCAGGCTGGGAGGCTGGGCACAGCTGAGATACATGATACTGAGGCATTGTGAGAAATGTCCAGTAAATTCTGATTGGAATTTATACCATGTGTTCAAGGATGTGTATAGACTTTTTAAACTACACATAAGTCTCTCTGTCTTTTCAGATCTGTGCTATTCAGAGTTGAGTTATATTTCTAACCCTCAAACACAATATTTAGGGAAGCAATATAAACAAAGTTAAAACAGTCAGCATGATTCAGCTTTTAAACCAGCAAGTACATGATCCATGTAAGCTCAGCATGCTGATGCCCACGGCGTCTGCTTTTGTAGCTCATGTTGGGGAGAGGTTGATTGTTTTCATCTGTATTTGAGTGTCTGCACTTTGAGTTTTGGGTGGAGTTGTTTAAAAAGCAAAAAACAGAAACAAACAAACAAACAAAAAAAACAACCAAAGAAAAACTTTAAGGAATTAATGATGACTCTTTAGTGTGTTTTCTATTCCACTTGAATAGGTTTTTGTTTAATGATGTTTATGTTTGGGGATTTTTATGTCTCTGAGTAATCCAGAGTGACATTAAACAGAACAAATACTGCGTTGATAGTCTTGGGGGGAAAATGGAATTAACTTTATTCTTTTACTGGGCAATTATGTGAATTGCAGAAATAGGCCACTCCAAAGAAACTATGTCAAAACACTGACCTTCAAAGCAGAGGAGAGTGGGCCTCATAGAATGAGCATGAAGAAATTGAGATACTTCCTGGAGAGTTTGGCCAATTGATGAGGCCTGAATTTATGGAAGAAGATAAATCCTATGATAGTAACTATGAGCAGTTACATGACTACAACTACTAGCTAACGCTTACCAAGCACTTATTTTCTATCAGGCACTTGGGTAAAGACTCAATGCATTATGATATTTAATCCAAACCAAGTTGGAAAGGAAACATGGGGAGCATATATGTATTCTTAAAGTACCATAATGGTTTTTGGTTCAGTTTTGTAATTAATCGATTAGTCTTTCCGGTCTTTGGAGAGTTGATGATCTACATTGTTCAGGTGGTAGGGAGTGGGAACTGAGAGGCCTGGTAGGAGCAGTTTTGGAGGAAGAGGCCTGGAGTTGCAGTGCTGGGGTCTGACTCCTGGCTCTACCGTGAATTAGCTGTGTGACTAGGGGGTAACCACCCAGAGTCCCACTTCCCTCATTTGTAATCAGGGTAATAATACTATGCACTTAACTCCTTGTTAATTCCTCATGCTAAGGAGCTGGCATGAGGCAAGTTCTTGCCCCATAGTAAGCCCTCTGTAATGTTAGTTATTGTTGTCATTAGTATTAATCTCCATGTGGCTCTTTAACACAGCAGTGATTCTTCACCAGCTTGTTGTGGCTCCTGATTGCTTTGGGGGAAAAGAGGAATGAGAAACACTCTGGCAGTTTTTCTTCTTCTTCTCCTTTCTGCTGTCTTCCAAGGGAGTGCCAACCACTAACACAGGAACTGCCACACTGGGCCTGGAAGCTGAACTCTAAGGAAAGGCTTGACCAATTTCTGCTCACTTGTAATTTATACTGTAGTTTTCTACTTTCTTTCCATTTAGAAATCCCACATGTGAGGGCCTGCATCATCATCATTACATGTGAAATCCAACATTTGATTCCCAGCAATGGCAATGAAAAACAATTACACTTCACATCATGGTGGTCTAGAGCATTCTCTCTCTCTCTCTTTTTTTTCTTAGAGGGAGAGACAGAGGCTGGGGGAGGGGCCAAGGGAGAAGGAGAGAGAGAATCCCAAGCAAGCTGTATGCCCAGTCCAGAGCCCTTGTGGGGCTCAAGCCCACCACCCTGAGATCATGACCTGAGCCGAAATCAAGAGTCGGATGCTTAACCGACTGAGCCACCCAGGCGCCCCTAGAGCATTCTTTTTTTAAAAGCTCATTATATTTTTCAAAGAACTTTGGAGATAGTAGATTTTTTTATTCAACAAAGCACTTTGCAGAATAAGTCAGCATTCCCATCAATGCTATCATCATGAATTCTGCTGCTACAAAGAAGGTAACTTATTTCCACAGATTTAGAGGTTCACAGATGTATCCCAGGGTGGTTGGGATCAGAATGTATGTGTCTGAGTTTCTCACAAGGGCATGCAGCATACACCCGCACATGGCATTTACCTTACGTAGGTAAACAGGTGTGATTGGGAATTTTGGATGTTGAAATGCAGAGTTCTCTTCCATATTTTCTCTCTCTCTAGAATGTTCCTTCTGCCATCAGAGGGCCCCAAAATATGTATTTAGTAGTTACGCTTTGAATCGTCAGATAGGGTTTAGGGATATAAAGGTTTTTGGAGACTCTACCCTCATTCTTTTAGAGAGATTTATTCATTAGGGAAATGAGATCATCAGAACATGATTTAACCAGTGGTAAGAAAATAGAATTTTATTTCAGAAGAGGTCTTGATAGAATAAAGATATTAAAGATAGCGGTTGACATTTTTTCCGTTTCCTCTGGGTCAGACACTTTGCTAAGCAGCTTGTATACAATAGTTCATTTAATCCTCAGTCAGAATATAAGATAAGGCCCATTATTATTCACACTTTCAGATGAGAACACTGGGATTCAGAGACATTAGAGAAGGTGTCCAGGTCACATAACTAGAAGGTGACGGAGACATGAGTGGGACCTTTGACTCCTGCCTAACAGGCAACAAGATTTAAAATAAACTGGAGCTGATGTTATTTTGATCAGACTTTTTCTCCCCTATAAACTTCCCTTTCCCCAACTGATATGACCTCTTTGGGTACTATGCATATTCCCAGCTTAAATTTACAGTTTCCATAGCCACCAGCCGAAAGCTTTCATCATTGCTGGGAAGTCCAGGCTTAAAGTTAGGTCTGAGCTTAAGCATGAAAAGGATTTTTAGCCTCTGTAGTCTCTCTACTGATGGCCTCGGACTATCTTTCTTTCTGGTTTTCTGTTTATTTACTACATCATTAGGAAAGTGGAGTCAGTCGAGGCTGTTCCTTCTTGTGTCTGTAATGAGAAAAGTATAAACAGCCCAGTCTCTTCCTGTGACTTTCTCTTTAAAAAGAATAAAGCCTGAGCCAATCACATTTGACACACCTCCCCTTGAGCCTGGTTTCAGCCTTACTTTTCCTTTCCCCCATACAAAATCCATGTACGAAGATTGTAAGCCAAAGGCTCTTAAAGAAAGAGAATTCAGAGGGTTTGTGAACTTTGATGAGAAAACAAATTACACCATTCTTTTCACTAACCTACAACTGAAACTCATCATTTCCTTCGATTATAGGGGAGACCACAAACCATAGAGGCATTAGCAGTACCCATGACCGTTTGCAATAGCAATTACTGATATTAACATAGCACATTATGGTGTTGGCAGATATGGCAAAACACTGTTTATATGTATCACTTGATGTTACAGTAGTTATACACTTGCACTAGATTCTGTTATTTAATGTGTTAATAAAGAAGCACATGTATTGCAGTACAACTTAAATATTTTGATGACTGTATTTCAGTATCACTGGTTTCCTTTGTCATCTTATGTATTTAAATTATGCATTTTTAAAACATTATTCTGAGAAGGGGGTCCTTTCTTTTCCCCAGACAAGCAAAGAGGGTCCTGACACAAACATGGTTGAAAACCCCTACACTAAGCAGGTTATTTTTCTAAGGAAGTCAGGTTCTTAGGGGAAGGGTCTATAAACTACAAGGATTACATTTTCTTATGAAAGGTTTAGCATTTGGTAAAACGAGCATGGCAAAAAAAAAAAATTCTTTTTAAAATAGCGGTTAAAAAACATGAATAGTTTTTACCGAATAGAAATACATAATGAAGCTCTACATTTCAATATGATTGTTAAAAAAGATTTTATTTATTTATTTATTTATTTATTTGAGAGAGCGCGAGCATGAGCAGGGAGGGGGAGGGGCAGAGGTAGAGGGAGCAGGGAGCCTGATGTGGGGCTCGATCTCAAGACCCTGGGATCATGACCTGAGCTGAAGGCAGATGCTTAACCAACTGAGCCACCCAGGCGCCCCTTTCATATGATTTTTAAATCGTTTTCCCGCAAGGTTGCTCTCTTCCAAGCAAAGAGAACCAGTGCAGACTAGAGGCTGATCTCCAAAGGGGCTGGGGTACACCCAAATGGTGTGTTTCCGTCCAATCAGCCTGCCTGTACGTGTTAGAGCTGATGGAAAACGGCTCCTCCCCAATCGCATTTTATAACAGAGATTCACTCTGGGAACGATTGCTGTTTCGATCGATGTTGGCGCTAAATTCCACTCCTGCTGTCCTTTTACGCTTTGGTGTCCATTTTTGAAAAACAAAATGTAATTGAAAAAAAAACATTTGTTCAGGAAAGTGCACATGGCAGAAGCATACCTCTCAAGGAATTTTCACAACTGAACACGTGTGTAACCAGCATCCAGATCAAGAATCTGGGTTTATAGGCTACTGTTGATAAATGCCATAT